GCGCGCGCACGGCACAACCGCGCGGCGACGCAGGTCAGCCACAAAGCTGTGACGTGCATGAATTTTAAAGCGCTGATCACGACCAAACCGTTGCTCCTAAACCTAAACCGGCTTCACTACACTCAAGATGGCATATGGAACTACTAAATCGAATCATAGAACTACATCACTCCTAAACTCAATCTCTCCAAATAATTTGCTAAACATAGCAGCGTCTAGCGATCCATAAGCTTAGAAATTTTCTAAGTGTTTGAGCTAATCTTAATTTCAGATTGCATTTCTACGCTACTAAAAATATTACTTAGCACTATTCTTTTTCAATACCAAGTATTTCATTGTCATTTACAAAGTTCATATTTTAAACTTCATTTAAGTGTCACATACATGTTCTATAGCATTTTTGTTCAATAAAAATTAGTTTACACCCCTACTTGTTAACTGTACAAATCGTGGAGCAACTTTCGTTTCGCATTTTTGTTGATCGTTTTAGTTGCAATGCATTATCTACTCACTTCACCACATACATTAACACACAAGTATGATGCTCATGACATATTTTAATAGATGATTTACGGTGTAACACCGACGGTGTTACAGCTGCCGGGACTTCCGGCTTGCGTTGGGACTTCCGACGGTCAGCCGAGCCTGGCGACTAAGTCCAAGAGCGCCGGGACTTCGGGGGAGTCGGGACTTCCGACTACCGGAACTTCCGGCTCTCTCCACAACTAAAATCTAGGTGTTCGTAAGGTGATTTAGTGTTACTCTTTTGATTTTATTTTTATGCTTGAGCACTCTATCTTCCTCAGACCACCTAAACTTACATCTCTCTTTATAGTACGACGAAACCTAAACTCAAAACAAAAAATAAAAACTTTGAAGAGCGTTTTGAGTTCGTCCGCCTTTTCAATTTCAAGAATTGAGGGATACCATTTCATCTTAGATCAACTCTTTAAAACTTTCATAGGACTAAAGCGGTAATATATCTCATTAAGATCTCATTAGTCCATAATTTGGATGTCATCGATACACCAAAACCCACATAGGGGCAAATGCACTTTCAAGTACCCATTTAGTTGTTGTATAATCCCTATGGTAAGTGAGGAGAGGGTTAGGTGATGAAATCCCCAATTAGGTGTTGATGAAGCACACCCAGGCGCATATATTAGCGTACGTGGATAGATGTGGATGTATAATTATACGAAATGGGAAAAGTTTGGTATCTTGACCATGAGTCGCACCATGGGAAGTGCGATGGAAAATTGGTCAAGGTAATTATGGCTAAAGTAATACAAACATGCGCAGGATTAAATCATAAATTCATGTCATGTCTCTTGGATTATAGGCTACAGGAACCTATGGGTGGCTCTTTCTCAAGATATAAGTGATAGTAGTGTCTTTAAATTAAACTTTTTTCTACAAATGCTATTTTGAACAACAAGATGATATATTATTAATCATTTGAGATGACCAGATTACATTGCTTTGATATATATATATATATATATATATATATATATATATATATATATATATATATATATATATATATATATATATATATATATATATATATATATATATATATATATATATATATATCAAAGCAATGTAATCTATATATATATATATATGCTTGTTAAGTACGTTGTATTCACTCTTGGTAACTCTTGTTAAGTACGTTGTACTTATAGTAGAACCATAGAAGGTGTCAAGCTGGTACCGGATGTGATAGTAATTTACCTACCATCTCCTCTCCTAGAAGATGTGGAATATAGAAAGGCTGCCAAGGGAATCGAATCTTAGTGAATGGCTGCTAAGCCAATCTTAATGACGAATGGCTGCTAAGGCAATCTTAATATAGAATGGCATGCAGGGGAGCCGCACATTTCGGGAAACTGTGGCTCTACTGATTGCTGGAAGCAGTGCATTGAGCTCTACTCTAGCTAGGCCAGGTACAAACTCTGAAGCCAAACGCACCCCCTATATATACATGCATGCATAGACGAGCTTTCAGATGACCCCCCGGCCTGGCCCTTAATTTCTTTCCCTTAATTTGCTGTTGCTGCAGCTTATTTCAGTGATTAGCTAGTACCCTGTACGTATATTCTCTTGTGTCCTCCTCTCTTAACATATTGTACTACAAAAATACACGGATACATATATATATCGAGACCAGTTTGCAAGCTAAGCATGGGGCTTCGATCGCCAATGCTGCCGGCGGCGAAGGCAACGGCCAACAGCGGATCACAGTGGTGTACGGTTGTCGCAGGTAATGACGACGCAACGACCTCTGTCGGTACCGACGTGCCATGCGCCCATGCCTGCTGCTTCTTTCAGATTTTCATTCATTTATTTACGTCCAACTAACATAAATCTTTTGTATGGCCTGCTCGTTCTCGCATGCTGGTGTTTTTTTTTTTTTTGCCACTTTTGACGCCTACGTGGCTTCATTTTTATTATTTTTGCATTCTCACCAGTAACCAGGAATTCTCCCCTCAAGTGGCAGAAATCACCATTCCCCCTAGGTTAATTTTCTAGCTAGGACTAGGACCATCATGTGTGCCTTACTTTTCTTGTTTTTCCTTCTAATAAATTGACTCGGCAAAGCTCTTATTGCTGACTTTTCGGGGAAAATCTACCTCCATGAGAAATTCCAATGAATAAACCCGACTAGGTTTACAAGGTATATAAAAATAGAAAACAATTCATGCAATTAGTAAAAAAAAGGGAGAAAAATGCACTGATCACATCTACTATTTCACGACAAACCTGTAAACTATGGAACCCACATCCTTATCTTGTTACTAAAATTTTGCATGGATGCATAATACACCCTCACTAAATAGTTGAGAATGTTGTCAAAATTTACGAAACCTTTGGTTATTCAATAAGCACTAGCCAACCTTCCAAACTCCTAAGGGACATTGCCAGTTTTTAAGCTATGTGGCAGTTTAAAGAAAATTGTTTAAACTCTGGCAATATGTTAAACGTACTAGGGATAAGACCTATCGATCAGTATGTATATCAACAAGAACAGGCATATAAAGACTAGGCAATACTCCGAGCCAAAATGATCGAATGATGATAATAATCAAGCAACTATAAATATTGATACCTTTGTTACAAACTTAAAATGGTTTGAATCTATGCTATGCTAGAATTGCACTATTTTTGCAAGGAGGGATTAAGACATCAACGTGCTATATGCTTGATGTTTATGAGATATTAACAAAGAATGCAATTCTAAGTGAATTCTTACCATATCTAAAGTTTGACCAAATATATATGTAAAAATATTAATGTTTATAACATCAAACAGATATTACTAAGAAAATATATTTCATGATACTGATTTGATATTATAAATATTAATATTTTTATATATGATATTAATCAAACTTAAGATATTTTAATTTGGTATTGCGTTAGAATCATCGTCATGCCCAGGCCTCCCTTTGGAAAAGTAACGGAAAATAACGCACTACCGGAAACACCTAAGTTGCCGAGTGTCTCCATCTTTGCCGTGGGCAAGATTTCGGGCACTCGGCAAACATGGTGTTTGCCGAGTGTCCCAAAGACGACACTCGGCAAAAACAAAACTCACGGCATAACAGTTTACGCCGAGTGCCTACACTCGGCAAACAATAGACACATCGCCGTGGTCTAATTGGTGATTTGCTTCTTTTCATGTGTTGAACTTATTCCTTGTGTTGCACTTATGCTTGTAATGCACTTGTGATTGATACTTTAAACTCGAACCTTATGTTGATATTGTGGTATGACATTTGTGTACCATTGTGGATTATTGTGATGTATTTGATATGTGGTGTGTGAAGATGATATATATATGTGATATATGTGCTGTATAATATATCTGTGCTGTGAAACATATCTGTGCTGTGATATACATGTGCTGTGAAATGTAATGCAAAAAAAAAATCAGATTTCTTAGGCTTTGCCGAGTGTTATGACCAAGACACTCGGCAAATATGAAATATTTGCCGAGTGTAGGTATTATCACACTCGGCGAAAAGCCATTTTTTAAAAAACCAAATATTGTTTCAAAAATGTTTGCCGAATGTCTGCCTGCGCGGCACTCGGCATATTATTATCATTTACCGAGAGCAGCACTCGGCGACAAGGAATTCTAAAAACATAAAATATTTAAAAAGAAATTAGTTGCCGAGTGCCTTGCCGTTTGACACTCGGCGAAGTCGCTGTTAATGGCGGGTCTGGCACCGTTTTTTTTCGCCGAGAGCCAAACTGCACACGGCAAAAACTTTGCCGAGTGCCCGATAAATGGCACTCGGCAAAGTTGGCTTTGCCGGTACTGTTTATGGCGAGTGGTATTCGCCGAGTGTTACACTCGGCGAACAATTTGCCGAGTGTTTTTTGTATTTTGCCGAGTGTTTCGGGCACTCGGCAAACTCAAGGAGTCCGGTAGTGACGAGCCATGTTGAAACGCATGCATAAATGGTTCTACTCCGTACCTGATGGTCTTAATTTCATACATCCAACACGTGACATATATATGATGAATTAAACAGCTCAGCATTCGTCAGCATAGTAGGAGTATCAATTAAAGAATTTTCAGACGATTCTGAATTTATAGTTTGATGCGTTTAATTCCTGTGGGAAAATTTATAGATCTCTTCTGCCAAAAAAACAATCGTTAGATCTCAACAAGTAGAGAGCAAAAAGTACTTCAAACAAGATGCAGAGAGCCATGGAATTTGTGCGTTGGTTCTCCTGATCCCTACGCACGAATCGGCGAACCAGCATGCATGGCTGCATATTATACACTTCTGCATTATATATTTGTATGTATTGCTTGTGATTCCTTCCTCTTTCATCTTACATTATATATATCGTACGTGCTACTGACTAACAAGTAACAAGGCAATTGGCTGGTTCTCACCACCTTCAATTCACCTCTTGCGATTCAACTAGGTCCATGGAGTTCCCGCATCAAGAAGGATGCAAAACGATGTGGTGTGCATATGGCCGGCCGGTGGAGGGACCGGGCCCAAGTGCCGGACACCAGCGAATCAGCCGTCGCCAAAGGTATCAGTCGTCGTCGATCGCTCCGATCCAATTTGAGCTGGGATCATCCTAGCTAGTCCTAGCTGGTGATCTGTTAATTCCAGTGCAAAAAATTCCAACGTAACGCATGCACCTGCAGGTTCACTAACACCCATCATCGGAAACGTGAAATGGCCTGCGGATCTGCATGACCTTGATAACCACCAAGTTATTTCTGAGGTGAACCTTCCTTCCGTAGCGATATTAGTGGTGCATAAGCATGACTAATTTGCCAGATATTAATTGTTGCTGACAAATGACAAATTGCATCAGCAGGTTCATGGGACAGACGCTGGACCACTGATCGATCAGATTAGGGCAATGCTGAGATCAATGAACGATGGGGACATCAGCATCTCAGCATACGACACGGCTTGGGTTGCTTTGGTACCCAGGCTGGACGGCGGCGAGGGCCCCGAGTTTCCGGCCGCCGTCCAGTGGATCGTAAACAATCAGCTCCCGGATGGCTCCTGGGGCGATGCAGACTTGTTCTCCGCCTACGACCGTCTGATAAACACGCTTGGGTGTGTTGTCACGCTCACAAAATGGTCTCTTGAGCCTCAAATGTGCAACAAAGGTACTGAGAAAATTTTAATTTGGGTACCCATTTACAACATACAGAGTATGTATAGTGAACCAAATTTGGGCACCCTCGATTCAACTGAATGATGGGCGTTGCTAAATTGCGTGCTGCTTTACTTTTAGGGCTCTCTTTTCTCAATCAGAACATGTGGAAGTTAGCGGTGGAAGACGAAGAGTCGATGCCGATTGGTTTCGAGCTTGCATTCCCTTCTCTCATTGAAATAGCAAAGAGTTTGGGCGTTGACTTCCCGTATGATCACCAAGCTCTACAGGGAATATACTCGAGTAGAGAAATCAAGACGAAGAGGTACATATATATACACACACTCCTATATAGATATAGAATATACAATGTGATGGTTTCCTAGAGATAATTTTCTAGGTTTCCTTTCTAAGTAAAATAATTTTGTACATAATGTAGGATTCCTAAGGAAGTGATGCATACAGTTCCTACATCAATTCTTTATAGCCTTGAAGGAATGCCTGGACTAGACTGGGCAAAGCTTCTAAAGCTGCAATCAAGCGATGGATCCTTCTTGTTTTCTCCTGCAGCCACTGCATATGCTCTTATGAATACTGGTGACAAGAAGTGCTTCGACTATATTGATAGGACAGTGAAGAAATTCAATGGAGGAGGTTAGCTACATCCATGGCTATATATAAATGCATGCATAAATCATATCATGCACCGTTGTCCACGAGATTGCTTAGCATTTTGTACCATCATTCTCTTTAACTGTTTGTCTTCGCCATTTCAGTGCCCAACGTCTACCCTGTGGATCTTTTTGAGCCCATATGGGCTGTTGATCGATTGGAGCGTCTCGGGATCTCTCGTTACTTTCAGCAAGAGATTGAAGAATGCATGGACTATGTGAACAGGTTTTTCTTTGCAACTTTTCAAACTATTTTTTATTTGAAGATGCAGCGTGGCAAAACCCAGTCACTCCGAGTAACGATCTTCTTTTATCTACATAACAAATATATAAACCCATTTTATATAGGCACTTTACTGAAGAAGGAATCTGCTGGGCTAGGAACTCTGATGTGAAGGAAGTGGATGACACAGCTATGGCTTTCCGACTGCTACGGCTTCATGGATATAGTGTGTCACCAGGTTAAAAGGCAAAACAGATCATATTCGTGCATGTCCTCCTGAACCATTTCACTTTTTTCCCATATATTGCATCTCTAACATATGTGCTGTTGCTTGTAGATGTGTTCAAGAACTTTGAGAAGGATGGGGTGTTCTTTTGCGTTGTTGGGCAGTCGACTCAAGCAGTCACAGGGATGTATAACCTCAATAGGGCCTCTCAGATAAGTTTTCCAGGAGAGGATATTTTGCACCGTGCTGGGACTTTCTCATATGAGTTTCTTAGGCAAAGAGAAGCCGAAGGAGCGCTTCGTGACAAATGGATTATATCTAAGGATCTACCTGGCGAGGTAGTCCAATCCATGCTAGCATTGGCAGATATTATTTGTATATTGAAAACTGAATATACTAGATGTACAGGTTAATTGGTGCATTCTTGTTCGTTTTATCAATTTTGAGTTCTATTTATCTTAGGTGTAATGGTATATCTACAGTCTACTATCAGTACATAGCATACTACTACACCTTTGATCTACTAGTATTATCATGTTTTATGAATCATAAAAAATATCAGAAGCTCCAGAAATTACCTTGAGCTTGCAAGATTCTCAAAAGAATTCAGTAGGATTATTTGGAAGAAGGAAATATGTTTGAGAGACTGGCATAATGATTGCAACAACACAACAGTATGTATTATTAGTCAATATTTGTTGGTCCTATTAATATGTTTTTGTGTCATTAAAATAACTTCTTAAAAGTTATTTGTTTCAATGTCTTCTATAAACTAACAGAAATGCTGAATCTGATCAATAGGTAATATATACACTGGATTTTCCTTGGTATGGAAACTTGCCACGTGTAGAGGCAAGAGACTATCTAGAACAGTATGGTGGTGGTGATGATGTCTGGATCGGAAAGACGCTCTACAGGTAACTTTATCTGCTGATTTTCAGATCAAATAATTTGGCCCATGGCTATGCTTCATGTTCTTTGATGCAATTAAAGTCAAATTACCTCAATGTGATGACCGACCTTTGGCAGGATGCCTCTTGTGAATAACAATGTATATCTTGAGTTGGCAAGAATGGACTTCAATTATTGCCAAGCTCTTCATCGGCTTGAGTGGCAAGGGCTGAAAAAGTATGTATATACAAGGGAATGATGGTGACAGTGACACAGCCCTCTTTTGTAGTTGCACTTTTTTTTTCTTTTTTCTTTCTTTCTTTCTTTTTTTTTTTGCTAATGGGGACTAGTACAAAAGGCTGGCCAAATTGACATGCTGGTGAATATGCAGCTGAGAAAAATATATATAGAAAGTATCTTAAGTAGTATAAAGCAAAAAAAATGATTTACAACCGGTTGGGTATTTATTTTTGTGATTATCATTTCTCAATACAAAAAAAATTTGCATCAACCTTGATAAGGCTTCTCGTATTTTACCTAGATGGTACAATGAGAATCGCCTTATGGATTTTGGAGTGGCACAAGAAGATGTTTTGAGAGCTTATTTTCTGGCCGCCGCTTCCATTTATGAACCAAGTCGTGCCACGGAGCGACTTGCATGGGCTAGAGTGGCAATACTTGCCAACACCATTTCTACTCATCTTCATAACAATTCATCATTCAGAGAATGCTTGGAACGTTCCTTGCATTGTCCCTATGAAGAAAGGGATGGATCAGGGTAAGTTCTGTATATTGGTTATCCACTATATATTTATATCCAAGCGATCAATCATCAATCAATAGCATGCCCCACAAGCCGATGTTTTTCTTCTAAGAGCAAGAAAAATGGAAACAAGTAAATGGTTCTAGTAATGCATGACGAAATGAACTATGAAAATATGCATACCAATTATTTTAATGATTACAACTGATGGAAAAATTTAAACTTTGACCACTACCTTCTTTTTAATGGCATATATACATATTGATCTGAGACCAATGGTGCATCCAGGCTTAACACAAATGGAAATGATGCTATTCTTGTGAGGGCACTTCTGCAGCTTACTGATTCGTTAGCACAAGAAGCGCAACCGATTCATGAAGGTCCAGAGTACATCCACAAACTATTGAGATCAGCTGTAAGTTAAACAGAAAAAAAATGCACTTAGCAAGTATATCGTTTTGTTCAACCATCATCCTAATACCATTCTCTGAACTTTTCTAGTGGACTGAATGGATAACGGAGAAGACAAATATAGAAGACAACGTATATAATGAATCCAATACTGTGAAACAAGGATCATGCATGGTTCATGACAAGCAAACAAGTTTGCTTTTAGTTCAAATGGTTGAGATTTGTGCTGGGCGAGTTGGTGAGGCTGCATCATTGATAAACAACAAAAATGGTGATCGAATTATTCAACTCACAGGATCTATATGTGACAGTCTTAACCAAAAGATGTTACTATCTCAGGTAACAAATATACAGTAATTTTATTTCCACCCTTTGTACATAGCTATATACTATACGATGAATTCTAGGACTCCTAGTTTTCAAGAAAAAAAAACTAGCAAGCTAACTATTGCGAAACGCAATTGTGTCGTACCTTAAATCTCTTGGATAAGACACAATTTTTTCTATAATTTTGCATAATGCAACTACATTTTCATGAACTTTGCATGGTGCTTCATATCCACAAAAATAATCATAAAATTCTGGCATTTTCGTTACTAGTGTATGATGTTGATTATCAATTACAAAATCTAAACCTGAATTGAACTACACCGAGAAATAAAAAATCAAATTTCATTAATGTGTAAGTAGTCCCAATAACTTTGGGAATTAGATGTGTAGGTCTTTAAGTGGACAAATTGGATAGTCGAAGTTAGAAAAACAGACTTTTCCTGACATATTACATTTTAGATCATTTTTGTTTATGTTCCATGGGCAACTGATCCCTAGGTTTTCTCCAATAATTAACTTCCAATCTTTCAATTTCTGCTTCTGATGGAAGAAGTATGAAGGACTACTCCTTGCAGACAAGAACATAAAAAACAATAAGTGCCTAGCACACCGACGATGTATGGAGGTTTTCGATATCAGCTTCATTATCACCTCCAAAATTAGACTTCATAACCAACTACAATAATTGAGGGTGACACAGTTCCATGCGACAAAAATCATGCTTATTATTTTACCACTAAATTTTCCATAATAGCCTTAACCACATTATTCAATGAACTAAGAACTATGCAATAATAAATTTATATTTCAATAGATTTTGTGGATCATTAAAGTGTATTTCCAATTTCATTTTTTTTTTGTACTTGGTCCATGTTGAATGGAATAAGGATACAATGGTAGAAACAACAATTCCTTGGCAAACAAAATACAAAGTGGACGGACATATATACCTGATTAAAATGAGAGAATGCTGTTAATGAGGAACTTTATTCATTTGTTGAAAAATTAGATCATGTAAATTTTGTTTTAAGATTTCTGCAATACTAGTTTTATTTCACTTTTTTCATATGAACAGGTGCTGAACTAATGATGTATATATGACTTTGTAGGATCCCAAGAAGAATGGAGAAATAATAAGACGTATTGATGATGAAATAAAGTTGCATATGCGAGAATTTGTTCAATATCTTCTGAGATTCTGTGAGAAACCCAATAACAGCGAGACCAGGCAAACCTTTTTGAGTATTGTGAAAAGTTGTTACTATGCTACTCATTGTCCACCACATATGGTGGATAGACACATTTCCAGAGTTATTTTTGAGCCTGTTTTCCCAAAATAGGGGTTTATTCAATGCCATTTGTGGGAACGCCGAGAAGAACTGTGAAGTGTAATGATAGATGTGATATGCAGATGAAAGAGAAAAATTGTTGATAGTGGAAATTAGCGTTGATGTCGCGTGTCCACATTCTTTATGTAAAAACAGCGCATATTTTGAATAAATATTTTAATTTCTGTAAATTATGGAATAAATCGATCACTATGCCCCAAACTACAAAATGGTATTGTGAGAAATCTCCATTTGGCATTGAGAAAAAGTCGGCCTCCCTTCCAAGGCACTCCCTAAATTAAAGTTTCCTATTAACACCGAGTTGAAATTTACTTAGTTAAATGGCAATACCGTCCATTTCCTCTACTAACAGTGTTAATTGGCTGCCAAAATGACCCATATGCTCTTCTCTGTATCAGAACTATATTTTGTCAAATAAGGAAAACATGAATGTCCTAGTTGTGTAATAAGGAAGAGAATAGTGGTAATATCATAAATATACTTCTTCTGAAATAAACACATGGATTTTTGACAAATGAAGGCTACAAATAAATATTCAATAAACTTTAAATACTAAGCTGAAAATTCGGTGCAAAAGATGATCAAACCAATTTGAATGTGTCTCTAAGATTACACGAAATTTACCAAACTTGACCGAAAAAAGCTGAAAGTTTTGAATCTACAATAGGAGAAGCATATAAAATAGCCTTCCACTTCGTACAACAGAAAATTAACATTTTGCAAGTACAACTTCAAGAACAGATAGCTGATTTCATTAGCCAGTAGATTTCAGAAGCAAAATCAGTAGCTGAATCTAGCAGAACCTAACAGAAACAAAGCAAACAAATTAAACTCGTTGAATGCTGAATCGAAGAAATCATGTCGTATTGCTGCAGTACGTGTCGTTGCCTTCGGCCGGAGACCCACAATACAGTACAGGCTGTGGAACTGGAGCAGAGAGGTTGCAAGCGGTGTATTGGGAGCAACGTCACCACCATGAGCCAGCTCCGTTCTCACCAGCGCCACGGCCCAGGGGCACCGCTCGCCTTCGCACTTCGCCCGTTTCACCGGAAAGAGGCTAGAGACCAGGCGAGGGAGGCCCAAGGCTGCCGCGCACCGCAGCCCCCGCCGGGAGCAGGACGGGCCGCCGCCGGGCGAGGCCGCCCGCGCCCTCCGCACCATGCCCCACGCGAGCACTCTACTACTCTAGGGTGCTATTGGGAGAGGCCTCCTCCGCGCCCCTCAGCTTTGTTGGCCAGGGGAATTTTGGTCCTCCTTCAAAATTACTGGTGTGGTCAAACAGGTCATCTAACAGATGTATGGAATGGTCAAATAAGGTCAACTAACAAATGTATAGAGGAAATGTTCGGTAGTGCCATTTACGGAAACAAATACTTCATCATCATACTTTGGCTAACAGAATCAGGCCAGGGTTGTTACTGTACTTGCGTCTAAAAACCTTGCCTGTCTCTAACTTGCGGCGTGGCAATGATACGGACAGGTCTGACTGTTTGCTGCAACAACCCAGCTCTGATAGAGAGCATCAGAGAAACTGCGTTAACTATGAAGTTTCAGAATCCACAACATATTTCACGACCCAAGGAACAAGCCTTTCAGTTTTGCCAACCTCCCTGAAGCACTGCAGGGGCTGAGAAACGTAGTCACAAATTCTTAACAAATCACAAGACCTGGCTGCAGTCAACTGATCTTGGTGAAGGCGAATTTTATTTCATGAACAAGTACAGAAGAAGGATGCACCTGTGGTGTAATACATCTGGAAATCCTTAACTGTTGCTGAACAAATGCGAAAAGGGCGCCTATACTTTCAAGTTTTGGTTTTCTCAACTTACAGCATCATTGTTCTATCTCGATAAACAGGCTCGCCTGTGGATGCAAGCCTGCTTCCTCCAGTGTCAGGGAGTGCTTCTCTGGACCATATGTGACGCGTGGGAAATTCGAAACTAGGCTGTACTTCTCTGCTTTCAAGCAATCTAAAGAATCGACGTAGTCATAGAGGGAAGTGACGGTTGAAGAACTGTGGAATCTCCGCTCTTTACGCTCTCCAGTTGGGAATCTTATGAGAACCTGCAACATCATCAGAGCGTCTACCAGTTAGTTTCACAAGAATTTGCATACGTGAATTATAAGACATTTTGGTATTTCTAGATCCACAACTTTTGCTATGGACTTAGATATACACTGCGTCTAGATACATCCTAAAAGCAATATATCTAGAAAAGACAACGTCATATTATTTGGAACAGATGGAGTACTGTTCTAGAGAATGCAGAGTAAGCAGACATCAAATACAGGCACTATGTAGCCAAAATTAACAATTAATTCTGAGATAGTAACAAGGGATTAATTGCAATTACTGTATAACATATCGCATATGAAACAAGCAGACATCAAATACAGGCACTATGTAGCCAAAATTAACAATTAATTCTGAGATAGTAACAAGGGATTAATTGCAATTACTGTATAACATATCGCATATGAAACAGAAATTTGCAGGTACAACAGTGAAATTTGATGCACTCAAATAGACATCCTTTGAGATCAGAACGACATGAAGCACGTTATCTTGCAGTAAGAATTGGAAAAAGGTAGTTTAGAAGACACGAGCATAGAGGGTTAGACATACCCGAGTAACACCTGGTCCTTTCTCAGGTTCAGCTCCAAGAGCCATGGCCTTCTCTTGCCTCCTCCTTGCAAGAGCAGCTTCCTTTTCAGCTGCTTCTTGGGCTGCCCTTGCTAAAGCTTCCTCCTCTTCCTTGCACTTTCTCTCAGCCTCTGCAGCCTCTCTTTCACGTCTTTCCAGTTCCTCTATCCTTTCACGTTCCCTGGCCTGGTAGTTTCCAATAAAAAAAAAGTGTGATTAGATAGTGTTGTCACCACCAATAGTAGCACAAAATCAGGATCCATGTTTCTAAACTCTGTTGATGTATTATGCGATAATATAACATGCACAAATGTAATACTTGAAGATGTAATTTCCTTAATAACTACTCCTTCCGTTCCAAATTATAAGTCGCTTTGACTTTTTTTATACATCCATTTTACTATGCACCTAGATATAATAATATGTCTAGATACATAGCAAAATGGATGAACCAAAAAAGTCAAAGCGACTTATAATTTGGAACGGAGGGAGTATAAAAGTTTGAAATGTCATCAGTCACAAAGAGCTGTCCACATAACCACCCTCCAGCCCACTGCCCACATCATGAACATCCCCACCATACATTCATTTTATTTTATACATATAAAACATATGTACTTTTCTACTATTAAGTAATAGAATCAGTGATGCACACTGCCCATATAGCTTAAGATACCTGGTCAGTTTCAAGTGCAGCTCTGTAAGCAGCATCTTGTTCCTCACGCAAACGTTGGTTGTTTAGTCTCTCTTCAGCTTCAATCCTAGCAGCAACGAGTGATGTAGCGCATTCTTCAACAACACGTTGAAGAATTGTTATCATCTCTTCAGGTGATTTAGGCCCTTCAACCTTTGGCACATGAATATATAACTTATTAGCAATACTGATAAATAAAAATTCTTACAGTTTTACAAGCCAAACATACGATATACCACAATGCTGATCAATTCTATATGGTAAAAGAAGCGCATTCAACAGCTTTATAGGCCAAACATATACCATACAGTCATATATATTTCTAAATAAACAATAGCAATACCAAAAGCATTAAAGGGGTTGGATCGATTAATGACTAATGAGTAGTGTTCACTAGATGCTTTATTTCACTCAACCATAACATATGATCAATCTTTTGAATAAAATGATGTGAGCCCCAGTGACAATGGAGGAAAGGGATACACATAAGAATATCAAACAAGATTTTGCTATAGATATACAAGTCATGCTAACAAAAATGATACCAAAGCAAACAAGCTGTAGCATCATCCATCAGAAATTCAAAATGAAGCAAAGTTGCATCATCAGAATTTGGGTGCCTATATTACAGGATTGTTGACTGTGCGAACAATGACACTGATCACTTATTTACCAAAAGGTTGCAATGTATTCAGCCATAGCTACTCTGACGGTTGGACCAAGCAGATGGCATGAACCAGATTTTTTATATACATATATAAATTCAGCCTTCTAGAGAAAATATAGCCAATAATTATAACCGGACGCACAATCAAATCAAATACAAGTAAGAAGCCACAATTGCAGCAGTTTGGTCAAATTCTTCTAACAAAAAAAATCACCACATCAGCTTTCAGATCATGACTCTTGAACAGTCATAGCCAAAATTCATTAGATTATAACAAAAAAATCGAATATAATTAGAGAACAATCATCTGATTGCATCTAGTGATCTTACAATATGCTGGGATTGTGTAATAGATAAGGTTTCAGGATTTGGAATTGGTAGGTGCAACTCCCACAAATTTACTCTCGAGGATCCTATCAATTGTTTCAAGCGATTGGAAATTGAACTTGAAAACAACACCTACTAAAATTCTCACCCAAACCTCATGCTAACCGGTTAAGCGATAGAAGTGCAAATTATATTCATCCGATCTCAAACAGTGGCGGATGCACGATGCGGGATAAGGGGGGGCTAAAACAATGGAGATGTTGATTTGCATGAAGATTTAATGGTGAAATCAAGCTTTTGCTATAGTGATTAGGCTTGAAATCAAGACATTAGGGGGGGCTGGAGCCCCCCTAGCCCCCCCTTTGGATCCGCCACTGATCTCAAACTCTGAAGTTTGGTTTCAATTACCATTACATAGTATGAACATATCCAAAAGTGACAAGCAGATCAAAATCTTGTGAATACCATTTCATGATATGCATACCTGCCTAACTAAAGGGACAGTATAAAGTATTCTCTTACAGAGGGGCAAAATGAAAGTTATTACAGCTGCCATCTCAGATAGGAAATTTACATTTTAACTCAAGAAGAAAATAAACTGCAGACACTCCCAATACCTAATTTAGCGTTTGCACTATCTTGCTGGAGGCAATAACACT